CTGCAAGACGAGCGTTTCGTACGAGACTTCCTCCAAAAGTCACGCGTCAAGTCTCAAAAACGAGCGTTTCGTACGAGACTTCCTCCAAAAGTCACACGTCAAGTCTCCAAAACAAGCGTTTCGTACGAGACTTCCTCCAAAAGTCACATGTCAAGTCCCCAAAACGAGCGTTTCGTACGAGACTTCCTCAAAAACTCACATATCAAAGTCTGCAAAACGAACGTTTCGCACGAGACTTCCTCCAAAAGTCCAGCAGAAACATCCATCGGAGCACACACATCACGCAGCCCTGCCAAGCAGTTTCGCGAGTCCAGCCCCTCCAAACGACACCCGCTCAAACGCCAATCCCAATGTGACAGCGACATTCACCAACCTCCCGATTCCCTGCGCCTGCCACGAATCTTTCCGCGTCCACACGTCTAACGCGCACAAAGTACTGCGCCTGCCACGAAATGTCACCTCCGTCACACATCGCAACCTCACGATTCCCTGCGCCTGCCACGAAAATCCCACTTCCACACCTCAAAACCCGCACAAAGTCCTGCGCCTGCCACGAAAAGTAACGATGTCATCTCATGTGAGCTTCAACAAAATTTGCACCACACCACACGTTTGGAATGATTTCGACCCGTTCTGAGCACACTCCCATCCACCAAAATCGGCATTTCAGCTGAGACTTGTCACGAAAACAGAGCTTCGATGCCACACCCTGAAACGCAAATCCCAATGGCACGGCCACATCCAACACCCCAAAAACACGACTCTCCAAACGCTAATCCCAATGGAACTGCGCAGCAATCTGCAGATCTCACCAAACGCTGCGCCTGTGCAGCGAAACGCATCACGTTGCTTGCGCGACATGTCTTTTTCATGCAAATCACAATGGAATAGCGGCGCAAACTGACACGTGACACATCCGTGAAAAGTCACTTGCAAAAGCTTCCCCCAATGGCAGCGCCTTAGCGCTCTACCGCGAACGGTTGCGGACGGTTGCGAACGGTTGCGGACGGTTGCGGACGTAGAAACAACGGATCGCGAACAAGGCTCTACCCCCAGACCCCCAAGAGTTAAACGAGAACCCTTCGCTACGCATTCGGGAAAAAGCAAAACGGATAACAAACAGGATTTAAGAAAGAAAAATCATGCAAACGTAGAATATCGTCTGCAAAATACAATTTGAACACTCTCATGCTGGGACGAACTGATCCGAGTCCATCCTCTGCCCGAGTTGCAGGCCCAAGACGTGGATCACCGAGAGCGGCTCCTCGTCCACCGGCTCGGTGTTCCGGGCATAGGCCAGGGGCGCCTCGGTGAACGAGGCAGCTCGCGACCGGTCCGAAACGGAGGTGTCCGGATGTGAAAGCCTCCAAAAATGTAAAAAACGACAACGATTCCTTCGGGATCAAGGGACGAAAACGCAAAAAGGCCGCAACACCGGAGAAGTCCAAACATCGCTTGGTGTTGAAATGAGAGACTTTGATCCTGATGATCTCTGGGGTCCTTCTGAGTGAAACACCGGGACGGGGGTAGGGAGGACACCTCCGCATGCAGAAATGGCATCCGAATCCTTTGGCGTCAAAAAAAGGCGTAGATATAGATCCGAAGAGTGTCCCGCTTCCGAACCGCCGTCAGTTCTTAAGCGTGAGGCCATCATGTAGTCCAGGATCACAATCTTTGCGCAGCGCCCAGATAATGAGGCAAAAGCATAAATCAGCCCCTGCGCACCGTGGGGCTCAACAAAAAAGGCGGCACTGCCCATGGTCATGTTTTTAGAGAAGGCCCCACATGAGGTGCATGCCCACCCTGCCTGGATGATTTGTGATTTGTTCTTGGATTCTCCTTCCACCTGAGCTGCGGCGGAATGTCAGTGATCACGACTGTCAAGGGCCAAACCTGCCAGCCAACAAGTCATAGCCCATCAAAGAATACGATCATTTGACAGAACGATAAGTAAGAGGTTCTATGTACGTCACTCTTTCGATGTACACCATGTATATGTATAAATAATGACACCCTGACGCCCTGCTGTCAGCATCCCAAAGGAACCCGCCCAAACGTGGGGAACACCCCCTTCGCGCCTGGACTCGCAGCCCGACTCGCCCCCGTGCGACGCTCACTCCTTCGTGGAAGGACGAAATGGGGCGCCCGGGCGGAGGAGACTTCACCCCAGGAGATCACCAGGGCTCCCAGGAAGGCGATGATCACACCTCCCCAGGAGAGCACCTGAGACGGGGGGTTTCTGACGGAGTGCAGCGGTCTACGGGTTTTCGTTGACGCTGAGTCGGGACTCTTGAAGGCGGAGGAGGTGGTTTAGGGGGAGAGCGCGGCAGGCGCTGCGAGTTGATTTGTCCAAAAACCCCTCCACCTTTTCTGGTGTGCATGGGAGTTGATTTGCTTGAGAATATCGAGAAATAGATGTGGTCCTTGAGTCCAGCTTTCCAATTGGTTTTGCAGAGCAAATGCAGGACTAGTGACTAGTGTGCCAAGGAACAGTAAGGCGCCTGCCACAGCAGCTCGAAATCACAGCAGTGCAAACTGGGGACAGTGTCCCAATGACGGCACAAACACCAGCTCCCGCATAGACCATGGCTTTGTTGTTGAAGACCACCTGGTCGAGATGTCAACTGCAACACCCACAGTGCATGCATTCTACTATTCAGGCCATATTCCAGCAATCAGTCAAGCAGCCGAGATCGGTTGACTAATTGCCACTGGAACAACGGTCCTTGAAAGGGCAGCGCGTTAAATGGTCATGTTTGTCACTCAACACTAAATAAATCAAAATCACAAAGCCTGGCTCAGCCATTCCACCCTTAGGCCTAGGCGTCAAAGCATATACAATCCTTTCTCCTCTCACGATCTTCCAAGGCTCTTGACCCATCGAAGTAGCGGGATGGACCAGGGAAAAATCTTCCGAGGCTCACCCTTCCACGTCCAATACCTCAGGAATTTCACGCATCACTTATATAAACCACTTAAACTCACTTCTTCACGAGGTGGGGAGGAAGGGAGGGATGGAGGGAGGGAATCACCCACTGCCAACTTCCCACCCAGATCCAGATCGACCTTCCCGCAGTCTCTGTCTAAATCAGCTGAAGGCTGCGCAGCAACCGCCACCACCACACAGGAGAAGTGCAAGGTGGTCAACAGCCCTGGGAACCTGCAGCCAATTCCACTGACGTCTGGTACGTCTGGTGTGGCATGGCGGCCAGGGTTCGTATGTTGGGTCTCGGCTAGGTCAAAGAAACAAACCCATTCATCCGAGTGTTGTAAATTCCGCAGGTCCTGGGGAAAGCCCTGACCCACCAAATTTCGCATCCAGTTTCCAAGTGTTCCCGTTTGCTGTTGCTTCTTGATGTGTCGTTGTGACTGATGGCAATTGCTTGGCCCTGCGGCACAAGACGAAAAAAAACTTAAAACGATGTTGGAAAACAAGCCTGTATAGCACCATTACACCGACACGTCGATGTGCCTGTTCTTTGCATTTCTTGTAAAAGAATCTACAACACATGCCGAAAAGCTAGCAGTCCTCCTCTCCCCATCTCTCCGTCCTCCTCTCCCCTCACACCAAAAATCCGAGCTCTTCGCCGAACGCCGGTGACAAAGCCGAATACGTCGACTCCGGGGTCAGAGCACCGACTCCTCATCCGAAGGGTGGTCCATTGGTGTTATTCGATCATTCATAGCATCACCCATTTGGGATGGTTTGATAATCGTGTATATACATATACATATACATATACATATACACATCCATGATCATAGAAATGTTTAATGGTTTATACATAGACATAGACCCCTGCCATCATCCGCCATCATTCACCATCCCCATCACCATTTCTTGGGGTCACAGGAGCTCATTCACCGCGTCCGCTCGCCCGCGAAGTTCTCGCGGCCACCCGAAGACGGTCCGTTCGGGCTGCCCAAGGCGCTTGAAGTTGAAGGGTTTCGACTCCACCACCTTCACCGACAGCTGCGTGGCCACCAGGAAGGCCACGAAGAGCGAGGCGCTCAGGACCACGCGCAGCCCACGGGAGCGCAAGATGGCCCAGATGGCCACCTGGAGACGGGAGACGCCGGACCCGAGGAGTTTGGGAGCTTTTTGGGGGGAGGTCCAGTGTGGGTTTGGGAAGAGACTCTTATCCAAGGGAAGAGACTCTTATCCAAGG